GTCATACTTTACTATAACGAAGTAGAAAAATATCTTAACATTCATCACCGTTAATACCAGTCATACTTTACTATAACGAAGTAGAAAAATATCTTAACATCCATTACCGTTAATACCAATCATATTTTACTATAACGAAGTAGAAAAATATCTTAACATTCATCACCGTTAATACCAGTCATACTTTACTATAATGAAGTAGAAAAATATCTTAACATCCATCACCATTAATACCAGTCATACTTTACTATAACGAAGTAGAAAAATATCTTAACATCCATCACTGTTAATACCAATCATACTTTACTATAACGAAGTAGAAAACTATCTTAACATCCATCACTGTTAATACCAGTCATACTTTAATATAACGAAGTAGAAAAATATCTTAACATCCATCACCATTAATACCAGTCATACTTTACTATAACGAAGTAGAAAAATATCTTAACATCCATCACCGTTAATACCAGTCATACTTTACTATAACGAAGTACAAAAATATCTTAACATTCATCACCATTAATACCAGTCATACTTTATTATAACGAAGTAGAAAAATATCTAAACATCCATCACCGTTAATACCAGTCATACTTTAATATAATGAAGTAGAAAAATATTTAAACATCCATCACCGTTAATACCAGTCATACTTTACTATAATGAAGTAGAAAAATATCTTAACATCCATCACCGTTAATACCAGTCATAGTTTACTATAATGAAGTAGAAAAATATCTAAACATCCATCACCATTAATACCAGTCATACTTTACTATAACGAAGTAGAAAAATATCTTAACATCCATCACCATTACTTGTTTGATATTAAACAGAACAGAATTTTCTGTTACTCCCGAGTGATATATGTTCATTAGTATAAGGAAAACACAATAATTAAACCAAGTGGCACCAAAACATGTAAATGGATTCATATTTCAAAGAGAGTATAAGCCACAAACAATGATGTAGCAGCTCTTGGTGGTGTTTTAACCCATTTTTTAAATTAAGAAATTTGTACAAAACATCAAATTTAAGGTCTTATGTAAGATTATGAATACATAATTTTCAAAGATATATGAAAGATTTTGAAAATGTATTCTTTCTTTTAATCAAACAATTTCTTTACTGTATAAATTAAACACTGTTACGAGATAATACTGATGGCTACTTGTACTCTGTTCAACAAACTACTTATATATAAATATATATAAATGACATATACATTAATAAATATGGGGGGGGCTTTCAGACTAAATGAAAGGACAGAAAAAATCAAATCCAAAGTCTCCCCAAAATGTCGAAGACCACCCTAAATTGCAGCCTCAGAGCCCCTCGAAGGACCACCACTGATCCGAATACATGTCTCCATCTCAGGATTGCGAGGCTGGCCTTTTTATGGCCAAATTCCAGAAATTTGGCCTTTTTCTACAATGTTTGGTCGTGAAAACTTAGGTTTGGCTTTTTTTTTCATATTTTGGGCAAAAATGTTTGAGTAAATTTTCCATACAATTTTATTTTGTTTCTGTTTATATATATATATTTATATATATACCACTACGAGACGAAATGATGTTTGTACACGTACAACGTCATACAAAACTACAAGCATTGCATTATTGAGTAGTAGTAGAATGTTTCACATGTTGTGATGTCTGTCATGTGTTCCAGTGTAGATATTGAAAACATTATATGAGTTTTATTTCTTAAATCTGATAACCCTTTAGTTACTATGTCTCCTAAGTGGAAACTGTATTATAATAGTGTATTTTAATTTAATTTTAATTTTTTATAACATGTTATAAATTTAATAAAATATGATATTTTTAAGTTCAATTTTTGTTTTATAATAGTGTTTTATATGGAGTTTAGGAGTTGGCCTTTTTTAACCATTAATTTGGCCATAAATCTCCCCAACCATCTAGCAACCCTGCTCCATCTCACACGATTAAGATCACTGACAGTCTCAACTGAAAGACCCCCCCCCCTCGATTGTTGTGTGATGCTAGATGTTAAAGATGGGAGAGAAAAGACACAATTTGCCTCCATGCTGTAAATAATAACCTGGGAATTCATAACGTAATTGGCTTGCCAATCAGAAGTATTTTGTTTTTTTAAGTATTATTATTATTACAAAATTCAACTAGATAACACTATAATGTTCAAAGTATCTCCGAACAATCATAATACTAGGAAACCCATTAATGACACTTTGTCGAGAAAAAGTGATAAAATTATCTGAATGAGATACTTTTATACAGTACCAGGATATAGGGTGCATTGACGTAGTTGGAGAGTATCACAAGACAAATATCTCCAAGTGAAATTTAGTGTGGTATAAAAGCCTGGAGCAAGCAAGAAAAATCAGACTAATGCTGAGATGGGCAAAGGAAGAAACCCTGGCAGTTGAGTAATAGCTATAAGTGTGAGAGAAGGTTAGTATGTTTTGAAATTAAGTAAATATAGAGTTTGTATTAAGTAATTTAATTGGACTATCACCACGTTTTTTTCTTTGTGCATTAAAAGACTAAAAAAACGTGGTGATAGTCCAAGTAAATTACTTAATACAAATATGAGTACTCACGTTAAAAGCTTGAAAAGTTACTTAAATATAGAGTTATTACTGAGTTAAATAAATATGAAGTTGTTACCAAGTTAAGTAAATACAGAGTTGTTACCAAGCTAATTAAATATACAATTGTTGACAAGTTAGGTAAATATACAGCTCTAACCAAGTTAGCTAAATACAGACTTAGCACCAAGTTAGCTACATACAGACTTGTTACCAAATTAGCTAAATACAAACTTGTTACAAAGTTAACTACATTTGGAGCTGTTATCAAGTCAGGTAAATATACAGTTGTTACCAAGTTAGCTAATTACAGACTTGTTACCGCATTTGCTACATATAGAGCAGTGTTGTAGTCAAGACCTCAATGTCCAAGACCAAAACTGAGCCCAAGGCCTGAGAGTTTGAGACCAAGACCATAGGGGTCAAGACCAAAGTCTTGAAATAAATTACACGAAAAATAAAGCAAGAAAAAATTCACATGCAACAAATCAACTTTATTAACATCTTAACTGCAAATCTTTTACACGTTAACCCCACAGTCTTTGTTTAAACATCTCCTCCAGTGAAAAGAAAAAACAATGTAAAAAAAAAATAAGGAATGAATATAAAAAATCAAAAAGGTCAACAAATAAAATTAAAACCAGTATTGGTGTCAGTAAATTCTTTACGATCTTTGAAGCCAAACAGGATCACAGCAGATCTACTAGACATGTTGAATGTCTGGGATAATCACTAACGTTTGACAAAAATATGTGCACCAGATGAAGCTCACACAAACTGGTAATAAGTCTATGTAGTAAGCAGTTAGTTTTGAATAGTGCACATTATAACCACAGACTGGTGTACAGGCAACATGTAGGTTGGTGACATAAAAAAAAAGGGGAGGCACTGTAACAATCACTGTAGAACCAAGAGGTTTTTACTAGTAAAACATCTTTGATGCTACACTGTGCCTCGTCTAAACTGCTATTGATACTTAGCACTTAATAATCCTGGGTAGGTGATTGGTCTAATATTGTTAAGACTTTTAAATTTAATCAATCTCATTTTCAAAACCTATAAAACATTGAGACCGAGATATGGAGGGTCAAGTCCAAGATCTACTGAAGGGTGATCTCGAAATCTACAACACTGATACGGAGTTGTTACCAAGTTAGCTCAATATACAATTGTTATCAAGTTAACTAAATATGGACTTGTTACCAAGTTAACTACATATGGACTTGTAACCACGTTAGCTAAATAAATGTACAGTTGTTGCTACACAAGCTAAGCACACAGTTGTGTAAACTAAATAGCATTCCACTGATGGATAAATATTTGTGATGATAGATAGAATGAAAAATCACTACCAGCAGAATTTAATATATCTGACAGCAATATAATGCATTTTTTGAACTTAGAAATTAATTGAAATAATTTTAATTCAACAAAAAGAGGAATAGCATGCCATAAAATAATTAAAATGACCTGTACAGTTACTGTAACACCATGTGACAAATCTAGTAAGTTTGTTGTAGTAAAGTTAACATAGAAGAGTTAGCTAATTACAGACTTGTTACCACATTAACTACATACAGAGCAGTGTTGTAGTCAAGGAAGCCAGATGATGTGCTCAGGGATTTAAATGCATATACTAACTTAAATATAAAAACTAAAAATATCTGGCTACAATCTACATAAGTAAGTAAAGAACAGCTCATATCATTTATCACTTTAGATGCAATGATCGGTATAATCACCCTAATATTCAAACACAGTACAAATACTATTTCCCATCTTACATATCACTCTGTATTATGCATTGCAAATAAATGCATTGGATTTTAGAAAGACAGCCAAACTAATTCTAGAAAAACAACTCAGATTTCTTCTTAAACTCTTTACATAATAAATTGTTTTAAAAATTGCCAACAAAATCTATACTTAAATGACTTAACATTGTTCTATATAGCCAATACCATGTAAGAAGGGATACTTTTCTTTATATATATTATTATTGTTATGAACTAATATCACCCAAATACTAAATTCACTGTGGATACTCCTGAAAAACAGATCAGTTGTTTTTTTCTGAACATTAGTTTCTGACTGGTCTCTAACACAACTTCTAACTTAAGCCTACACCTGCTGGTATCTTATACTTTCTAAATCTTCTCACGTGCTTTCCAGAACAAACTTAAAAATGTTGTGTGGCCATTATACTGTCTTATAAACAGCATAAACATTGAAACACAACTTCAACAAAACTGGGTGTGCAGCTTGTGTAGTTAACAAAACATAAACCCATTAGAAAAACATCAAAAGAAAATCCACTATATTACTACCTTTTACTACTGAAACTTTAGTTGAAATGTTAAACCACTAAACATAGTGGTTTCAATGTGAATTGCTCCTCATCTAATATTGCTTGCACTGCAGGTCTAGAAGGAAAATGTATCCTGAAAATCGTGTAAATAGACTAATACGTACATTACATGGAAAAATAGCTCAGAAAACGTATTTACCTACAAAACAAAGGGTTATGAAGCATGTGAAAGATGTAAAGATGTAAAATGGGTCACTTTGCACTTCTTACCACTGTAATGAAGTTATCTCAAACAGAATTGTTTAAAACACATTTAACTCTGATTACAGAGAAATCACTGGAAATATATTCATTAGGAATGAAACACTAATTCTGTAATTTAAGATCGTATGACCTTTAACTCGTTCATTAGGAATTAAACACTAATCTTAAATTACAGAATCGTGTGACCTTTAGCTCGTTCATTGGGAATGAAACACTGATCTTAAATTACAGAATCGTGTGACCTTTAGCTCGTTCATTGGGAATGAAACACTGATCTTAAATTACAGAATCGTGTGACCTTTAACTCATTCATTAGGAATGAAACACTAATCTTAAATTACAGAATCGTGTGACCTTTAACTCATTAATATAAATTTTCCTATTGAAACTTTATTTTTTATGATGCTTTCTACTAATTTATACGAATTCAAGTTTAATTGCATTTTAGTTTGCTAATAACAAGTGTTTTATTTTGTTGGTTAATGTTAACACTGCTATTGATGGATTGAGTAGGACAACTTTTAACCTATTTCTTCTGTGTATTTTCTTTTTCTTACCAAGCCTAAGGCACTGCCTTAAGATTCCTCCACTGGACATGTTTTTCTCAGACTCCAGTTCACTGAAACTAAGAGACGATGCAAACACCAAAACATCTGTCATATTCACCAGCCTCTGGAGGAATGCTACCGCCACTTCAATAGACATTCCTTGTGTTGGCTCAATAACGTCAAGTTCATGCTGCAAATAGTAATCAATAAAATAATATTCAGTTAACTCTCTGATCTCTTTGTACTCGTTTAAAGTCTTTATAGTTTTGATATTACTAACTTCTAATATAGCATGAAAATCTTCACAAAATTTGGCAGACTTTCATTAAACATTATATATACACATACAAGTCTTTCACATACAAAAAAATGAAGTATTTTTAATCAACTAAACAAGATTTGTCCATGAATATATTGAGTATTCTTTTTGACTATTTCGTGCTCAAAGTGATTTTCATGTTAAGATTAAAAATACTTTTCTTCATCTCAAAAATCTCAAATTTCATTTGCGTAATCTCTAACCTCTTAAATACATTTCAAATGTTTGTTTCAGTAAAACTTTATATTTTATCTGTTATTTTCACTACCCTAACTTTATACATTAGTTAATTTCTTAATTTAGAAGCAAATATAAAAAACACAGCAAAACATCAATTTTTGTGTGTCACGCGGTATGTTGAATGCAGCACTGGTTCAAATGAGATGTTTGTGATATCAAATTACAAAGTTTATAGTTTTGTACGAATTAGCTAGAATATAAAATAAAAACCTCTTATTTTTTCTATTTGCTAAGATATTGCTCATGTACTGAATCAAACATAGTGGCCCCCAGCCCACCTCTTTCCCTTTTTTGGAAACACTCCCTTATATACACTTACTTCTATATGTGACATGAATAACCAATCGAAAGCTCAGAATCTCCCCCTAGTGCCTTTCTCAGCCATTTTCGTGTGTTAAGACAACATCTCATTCTTTCATAACAAGATTTCAAGGTAGGTTGTCTCTTTAGTCTGCTCAAAATGTGATATTTTTCAGACTGAAATAGAGCTTAGTTATTAAACTTGATAAATTATAGTGGAATTCGATGGTATTGATAGAGTAACTTATGATTTTCTTTGGTTATTTAAAATGTATATATAAAACCTAAAAATAATTTCTTTTCACATTCTCCATGTGGGAAATTTCATAAGGCTTAACAACCTACGGCAAGCAGCAACTGAGTAAAATGGTCATAACTAGAAGAGATACTTGTTTGCTTTGCTTCTTTATTTAATGTTCTATGTTTTATGAAAAATAAGTTTAAGAACTTATTTGTAAATAGTATTAATGTCTATACATATATAATGTATAATTTTAGTTATAACATGAAATCACTTTGCACTTGGACTGTTAATGAAACAGACTTGATATTTTCACAAACAAAACTATAATAAAAAACTACATTAAAAAATCTGATTTTTTTTGTGTACGAAAGACTTGTAATCTTTACTACCAAATTTTATGAGATACACTTACTGCATTAAAAGTTATAGTATAAATACTTAACTTATGTATATTATATGGAGTCTGTCGAGAAAGGGTTAAACTATTAACAAATCCTGAAAGAGAGGATGTGACAAGAGGGGTCTGATTTTCTGTTTGATGGCTCTGTAACCATACAAAATTGATGGCTATAAAATTATGGTTTTTCTGAGCAATGATAATTTTATAGTAAGTAATTTACCTTAAATTTTGTACTTAGTGGAGGGGTGGTGAATAAAATAGAGAAGAAAGTATGCCTAGAGAAAATATGTCACACCTGTGAAAATTAAAGATTTTTTAATATTGCCTTATAAAATCCAAAACTTAAAAATTGTATACTATAAAAAATAAGTATTATTAGATACTATTTTATGCTATACTAATTGGTATAACATAAACAAAAAGTAGTTCAATAAAATTTTGAATGTAAGACACTAAAACATTGTGACATGCACAGTAAATGATGCCCGGGCAGAGAGGGTTAACAACGTGAAACACATAAAGAAAACTCTCTAACCAATATTAAGGGCTTTTCAACAACAAAGTGAATCTATGTAAGACAGCTCTTGAAATGACTATTACATAATTTCTATATTATAATACAGCATGTTGTTTTCATAATGGCTCATATTGTTGACAATTGACATAAAATGAGAATGGAAATGATACTTTATATTCAAACTACATTTAAAGTTCAATAGGAACTTTTTATGAAGTATGTGATATAACATCACAATAAGACTTATGATTATATAAATTATATCATTATTTACTGTTGCATCACAGCATTTCAATTATAATTCTGTATGATAAGGACTTATACCAGAGCTTATCCAGCCAACTGGTTACAAGATAAAGTTGATCATAAAATACCAAGTCTTACATTAAAAAAACACCTCTAATAGCTGGCGGACTTACACTTCTTAAATATACAAAATCTTTAAATCTATTCATAATGGACAACCTGAAGGTAACAAATACCCTTTAAATATCACAATTAATTGCTTGCATATTTTTAATCCTTAACACCTGTACTTAACACCTTAATTCAAACTAATTCTTCACATCCCATCAAAGTCTGGACCCATTTTCAAGAGCATTTAGTCATGTTTGTAGAAGGAACATAAGACATTTCTTTTGTATTTTGTAATTTTTATAATATGCAAATTAGCCACAGTGGTAATGTTACACAATACGTGCATGAATACGGTTTTCTACCTATTTCAATATATTTTCATACAAAAAGCATAGTATGAAGATGTTTTTTTCTGATAAAACCTAGATAACACTATGTAACAGGTATATGCTACCTTAACAAAATTATTCTACTAAACTGAACTACCACTTTGTACAAAATACATAAAAGAATGACATCTTTTCACAGAACATGTCAGTGTAAACAACATACTACAACAGTTTTATAAATATTTCAAGATTTTTGGTTGTACTTGGTCTACTTTCAAACTTAAAACAGTTTATTAATTCTCTACAGACAATGTTTTGTCAGCTTATTCTAAACTAAAAATATTTAAGTTTTGGTTTGCAGTAGATATCTAGACTACACTAAATCAAAGCATCTTACATTTGGTGATGTGGCAGATGCTAGAAGAGGCAAGAGACCACCACAAGCTATGATGATGTTGTCTGACAACTGGGATATCAGGTGCACGGTATTGATCACAAAAATGGCATTCTCGCTACTGTTGACAAAATCAATCACTGTTTTCGTGGTGTTGCTGGTTTTGGAAAAACATGTTTATGAGTTCAAACTAATAGTGTTAAACTGGAAATACTAAACAAAAAGTTATAGAAACAAATCAATCTTATCACTAAGAAACTGATACAAAACAATCAGTAGTCTTCACTGAAGGCACACTTAAACTGATAGAATACAAGCAGAGTTTATCGTTATGGTTACTTGATAGAGATGTTTTTAGCATAGTCTCTCCTACTTCCAATTATGGAGTCCTGTTACAGAAAATTTGTCGGTGTGCAGTCCAGGTAGTGTAGTACCATCACAGATTTCAAACCACAGACCACAGGGAGACAACTGCTAGGCAGAAAACTACTGCAATTTACATGTTATTTACTTATTTATCAATTTATATATTTGTACTTTATTTTAATTACTATTATTATGTATAAAGTTTAGTTGCACAGAGTCACTAATGTAAATAAGAGTGGATTATGCCCTCAATATACAAAATGGAGATCACAACTACTAATTCCTGCTCAACACTATTGCAACAGAGCAAACATGTGTAAGCCCAGCCTAGCATTGGTATATCATTGTGCAAACTAAGCAAATTAATCAAAGTTAACCACTGCATTATCAAAATTACTTATAAATTAATAAGAAATTTAAAAAAGAATATTAATATTTTAACTACAGGCAATGAGCAAGTACAAAATCTATAAAGGCTTAATTAATCAAGCATATAATTATCTTTTAATTTAATGTATCTGCTTGATACAACAGAATAGGCCTAGGTCTACTGTTGATTAGCTAAGAAATATACCCCTACTTTAGTAATTTTAATTTAATGATCTGTTTGACATTAAAGAATAGGCCTGGGTCTACTGTTGATCAGCTAAGAAATATACCCCTACTTTAGTAATTTTAATTTAATGATCTGTTTGACACTAAAGAATAGGCCTGGGTCTACTGTTGATCAGCTAAGAAATATACCTCTACTTTAGTAATTTTAATTTAATGATCTGTTTGACACTAAAGAATAGGCCTGGGTCTACTGTTGATCAGCTAAGAAATATACCTCTAC